CGATCGCGCATGGTGATGATGAAACCGGTCAGCTCTTGATGCAGTACGACTTTACGTGGCTCGTGATGCGGTTGACGCCGGCCGAGAAGCGTGCCACGTTGGCCAGCGAGCTGGCTTACTTCTTCCCGCCGCAGCAGGCCCTCTCCTTCCTTTTCTTCTCTGCTGAGCGCGAGAGTACGTCTTCTGTCTCCGATGGGTGCTTGCCTGCATGTTCCCGAGGGTTTACCCTGCGCTCTGTGTGCAGAGCCGCGTCTGCGATCCACGGCGCCTTCGGTGGTGTTTGCGTCTTCGTGGCTGCGTATTCGATGCCGACCGATGTTGCAGCATGCCCTGCGGTCGATGCTGACCGATCGCTCCTGGCTTCAGCACAACTCCTACGACACCTCGGTAACCTTCCCATCTATTGCTTTGATCAAGGGCCTCTGCCTGCTAACTTGGATTGAGCTGTCCAGCTGAGCGACGTGCGACAATCGCGCCAAAGTGGGCTCAATCTGAGGAAGGTTTGCGCCACATTCTTCGACGCCGTGTTCAAGTCAGCGGACCGCTATCCACTGTACGTCTTCATGCAGATGCTGTGCGACCGCTCAACGAGTGCGACTGACGGCCAACATTGAATTGGGTCCACCGGTCGGCGACAGGGAGTGCCGGTTGTACTTGCGGAACGTGCTCAGCAGGACGGGGCAGTACTACTGCAAGAAGCGAGAGAAAAAGGAGCGGAAGCAAGAAGCAAAGCGCGAGAGGGAAGTCCAGCGCGCGGAGAAGATACGATTGTACTCTGCACAGGCCGCTGCCAAGAAGCTCAACGGCTCGAGCAGCGGCGGAGCTATGGGCGACGGCTCAGGGATCTACTACTGCGGCACTGCCGGTGAGGAGCTCATAGGGGTGGTGCTCAGCGATGAGGACGAGCGAGAGGCGTCACTCAATGCTTCCGTCGGTGATGCGTGCGTGGACGCCAGCAAGGACGACGACGACGAAGATGAAGAAGAGAAGTCCGACAACCGGGAGGAGGACAAGGTCCACAACATGCTGCCCATCATCTCGCATCTCGGATTCAAGCGGGTGTGGAACGCCTTCACGACGCCCGAGGATTTCGAGCTGCTGCCTTACGGATCGCTTGAGTACCTCTCTCCTCCCCCCATCTGCTTGCCACCCTTATTGCTGGTCTTTGCCCTGAAGCGCTGCTGGCCGTGGAATCTGAACATACTCTCCGTAACCTGCGCAGTGGCTCTGCACACGACAAGCTGCGATGCATCTTCTCCGCCATGGAGACGCTGGTGGGACAGTTTTACGCAGCCTCACCGGAGTACCCGGCGTGGGCAGACAAGGAGTGGGTGGACAGCTTGAAGCAGGACTACACCAAATACCTGCTCACCATATCGGTACGTCGTGTGCGTGTGTCATGTCGTACGCGTTTTTCCGTAGTGTCTCACCTCCTTGGTGTGACGCGCAGAGCGCCGGACACAACGAGTTGGACAATGTGGAAAGCTTGCTGCAGAAGCGTACGGATCGACTCTTCGAGGCGGGGCGAGCGATGGAACAGCTCGACAAGTACATCTTCTCCTGTCTCATGAATAAGCAGCTACACATCAAACTACGCGGTCCACGCAAGTTCAAGTGCATGCGCAAGGTTAGCCGCCGTCTTCTGTCTTACAGTGCCTTGCTGTGGTGACTTTTGAGTTGACGCGATCGTCTCTTGGTGACGGCTGCAGCGGTTGTGGGACCTCTATGGCGGCGTGCAGGCGAGCATCAAAGGTAGAGCTTCATAGTAGACTCCTTCTTCTGTTGTGCAGTTCTTATTCTAAGACTCCTTGCGCCTTCTTCGAACAGTGCTGAGCATGCAGTGTCCATCGAAGCTGCGACCTTTCAAGGCCGACTTTGTGGAGCTGAAGACAGCACCACACTGCATATCCATGGTCGGTCAAGACACCGTTCTCTTCACCGATGAGAAGGTACGCTGCTCCTCCCGCGTGCGCGTGCGTATCTGCTCACCGACCGAGTGGCTTCATTACAGGAAGTAACAGGTCTGGAATGGAAGAATCGCATGTACCCTCTGCACGGTGACGTCAAGCATCTCATCTTCACCTTCCTCTTCATGCGCAAGGAGGAAGGCACTCCTGTTCTCAAGTACCCCTCCTCGCCCCGCTCGCATCGCTGCCATCATGCTGGTGCTCATCACCCGCCGCATCCCCCCCCTCTCCCCTTTCTTCTTGTTCGTGCCCTTAGGGCCAAGGCGCATTTCCGGCTCGAGAGGCGGCGCATACTCAAAGAGAAGCGGGAGACGCTGGAGGTGAGCCTTCAGCTGCTGTGCGAAGACAGGGACGAGCTGCGCGACAAGAAGCTCGGTGGCATGCTCAGGAACATGTTGAGCGGCGGGTTCCAGCGGCCGCGGCGGCTCACCGACCAGGAACGCGTGGGCGAACTGCGGGTCGAGCTCCACTACGACCGCAAGTTCGTGGGCCGACGGGAGCGCTGCTGGGGCACCGACGACAACGCCCCCAACCCCGACGAGGAGTCTGAACAGCCTGTGCCCCACGGTATCTTCCCACCCTTTGTCATCCTATAAGAAGAAGTAAAGGCCTAGAAGCGTGTGCACAAGATCGTGTTGTTCTCCTCACAAACGTTACAGTGCTCCTAGTGCTTGTCCTTCTTCTCTTTGCCTTCCTTCTTGTCCTTCTTTTCCTTTCCCTCTTTACCCTCCTTCTTGTCCTTCTTGCCCTCCTTGTCTTTCTTCTCCTTGCCCTCCTTCTTGTCCTTCTTCTCCTTGCCCTCCTTGCCTTCCTTCTTGTCCTTCTTGTCCTTTCCCTCTTTACCCTCCTTCTTGTCCTTCTTGTCCTTACCATGCACCGCCTGCGCGTACAGCACACAACATCAAACAATCAGATCAGATCTGATCATCACAGATCTCTAAAGATAAAATCTTCTTTGATGGTGGTGTGCGGGGTACCTGAGCGTGAGGGTCAACGTGAGCGCCAGCGGGGTGGCCGGCCTGGGGCGGGAACGCGCCAGGCGGGTAGGCGCCCTGCTGCGGGTAGCCGGCCTGCGGGGGGTACGCGCCGCCAGGCGGGTAGGCACCACCAGCGTGCTGCTGCGGGTAGCCGGCCTGCTGAGGAGGGTACGCGCCGGGCGGGTAGGCGCCACCAGCGTGCTGCTGCGGGTAGCCGGCCTGCTGAGGGAAGCCACCAGGGGGGTAGGCGCCCTGCTGGGGTGGGTAGGCGCCAGGCGGGTAGGCGCCACCGCCCTGCTGGGGTGGGTAGGCGCCGGGCGGGTAGGCAGCAGATGCGTCACCGTGCGGTTGAGACATGTTTGTTATGGTGTGGGTGGCTCAGGGAAGTAGATGGGAGGGCGAGTTGCGGTGTGTGTTGGCTGCTGCGCTTGTTGTGTGCTGACCAAGAGAGAAAGACGAGGCAACGGCCAGACGCACCCAGCAATTTGCTGGCCAGCTCGAAATCTCGCTTGGGTGCGAAATACGCAACACACTCCTCTTCTTCGCCACCTGTACACTGGACGATGAGCAGTGTGGTGGACGTGTGGTGTAACCCACCTACGGCAGAAGTATGGAGGCGGCTGCCCGAGGTGGCCCGCCTGTTCGTCAAGTCTGGGTCCCCGTTGCTCGCCTCTCCCCCCACCAACGCATCGAAGCCGCAGGAGGCTGAGGCCCTGACCATGAGCCCGAAGCAGCTGGTGGCGCTCATGGACCAAGAAGGCATCGACCGCATCATGCTGTGCGCTTGGTGCAGGCCCGGCCAGTGGATCTTCACCAACGAGCAAGTTCTGGGTACCACGCTGCTCCCACCACACAGCAAGCTGCGTGGTGCACTCAGGCTTGCCCGACAGAGTACACGCGGGCCTACCCTGATCGGTTTGTGGGCATTGCGACGGTGGACCTCGACAAGCCCGTGGAGGCCGTCGAGATGCTCGAGAAGGCCGTGTGTGAGTACGGCTTCAAGGGTCTTAAAGTGTTGGGTACCGCACGCGTTCTTCTCCACCCCAGAGCTCTGGTTTCAGCGCATTGAACTGACAGTGAGATGCAACAGGCTGGCTGTGGAAGCTTCCGCCCAATGACAAGCTCTACTACCCTCTCTACGGTACGCCTGGCCCAGGGCCACGTGCTCGTTTTGTAGGGACTTCAAGCTCATCTCACCGCTCTCAACCCAACAGTGAAGTGCACCCAGTTGGGCATTCCGTTCTGTCCTCAGGTTGGCCACACAGGACCCCTGATGCCGTCCGAGCCGGGCCGGTGCGCCACCGAGTCCCTGCTGCGGGCTCGCGCTGCGAACACTACTTGGGCTGCTGATGATGATTGTTGTTTGGTGGCCATTGATGTACTTTAGGCCGGTCCCTTACTTGGAGGAGGTGGCGCTGACCTTCCCTGACCTCAAGATCGTGGGCGGACACATCGGCCATCCGTGGACCGAGGAGATGATCAACCTCGCGTGGAAGTTTGACAACGTGTACATCGGTGCGCTGTTGAACCCTGCTGGCTGGGTCTTCTTCATGTTGGCACAGTGCTCACACACGGTGGCGGGTCGGGGTCCAACCGTGCAGACACCTCGGCCTACTTGCCGCGCTACTACCCGAAGCCGTTGGTCCATTTCATGACCACGCACGGGCGAGACAAGGTCCTGTTCGGCACCAACTTCCCGCAGCTCAGCTGGAAGCGCTGTGTGGAGAGCGTGCAGCGCGACCTGCGTCTCGCGCCCGAGATCTACGAGCGCTTCATGTGGAAGAACGCCTGTAATGTGTTCGGCCTCGACGAACGACAACCAGCACCGTCGCTCTCGATCGAGCACCACAACGCCAAGCTGTAAGAGCGGAAGCTACAGCAAACACTGTTCTCATAAAGCCCGGCCGAACACATGTGAACAGGCCTCACGACGAGGGTTCCTTCTTGGCGGTGCCGACCACAACGAGCCACGGGCGCACTTCGTGGCGTGTGACGAGGCCGGCCTTGACGTAGGGGTCGTCATGAGCGAAGCGATGGACGTCGTCGGCGGTATCGGTGCGGAGGACGATCAAGCCGCCGCTGGCGTCTTCCCACGCGCCGCCGGCCACCAGGCGGCCGTCGTCCTCGTACTGCTTGACGTAGGCCAGGTGCGCCGCGCGATGGGGCGCACGCTTCTCGAGAATGCCGTCCACGTAGGTGTACATGAGCGCATGCAGCTTGTCAACTGTGGGCGCGGCAGCTGGCGTCCCCGTGGCACCTTTGAACCAGTCGAAGACCGCAGGTGAACGATAACAGATTCACTTGGTTGTGGGGGGGGGAGGAGCACACAAGGAGCAAGTCGTACCTGAGGCAGTGGAGAAAACTCTGGCTCCGGCCTGGGCGGGCACAAGGCGGCCAGCAGCGCTGTCAAGGCAAGGTGCGGCAGTCCTCACTCGTTGCATGACGGAAACAAGATTAATCAAAATAGTTAAAGATGAATCCATGCAGGGGTATTTAACGCCAAAGTTGCGGCGATAATTTGCAGGGGATACCGGACCCCTTGTGGCGGCGACAATTCGCAGGGGATACCGGGCCCCTTGTGGCGATAATTCCCCTGAGGGCTGAAATTGGAGCAAGCCACATGGTAGGTCAAGAATCTCACACGATTTTAGCACAACAAAAATCAGTGCCCACCAGTAATGGTGCTTATTGTTGGGGTTGGGGCTGAGGGCCACAGGAGGGTTAAAGTTGAGGGTGATACTGCCTTGGACAGTCACCTCCACATTGAAGACCCAATTGGTCACCTTGCTTGTGACCACAGGTGTGACCATAAGCTTGTGATGGGGAGGGATGATGTAAGGGTCATTGACTGTCACACTGTGCAGGGTGATTCCCTTGCTACCCTGAGCTGTTGCAGGGAAACATAACATAACATCTGCATGGAGGGCAAAGGTGGCATTGTCTGGAAGTTTGGTTCAATATTCCAGCCAGGCACACTACCCACAGACCAACCACCCTTGACACCTTCCTTCAGTGTCCAGTGGCTCTCTCCTGAGTAGGTATTGGTGTATTGGATCTTCTTCATGACTGTGCTGAGGTTGGCAGTTGGTGGATCTTGGGATTGCCATTGCTGTGCCAATTGGCACCTGCAGGAGGATTGCACTGTGATTGGGTCTCAGTTGGAAGACATGGTGGTCACAATCCAGCTACACTGTTGGATGCTCATGATCACTGTGTACATGCTTCTTCTGGAGGGTCTGCATGATTGGACAGACTGCATCCAGGAATGTGAATGACATGACAGCATGGGGTGGCTCAACACTGCATGTTGGGTGGCCAACAGCATGTGATTGGATGCTGCCAGGGATGGCATGCTCATGCCCAGTGTGTGGCTTGAGCTGCGCAGCCACATGCTTGGCCAGAACCTCATGTGACACTATCTAGGGAAAATGTACTAGTTTATTTGCCTTGTGTCTCTGGATCACCACTGTTGTGATGCCTGTGTGGAACCTGCAGGGTGTGATCAACTGCTTGGGCAAGGGGCCAAACAACTTGGTTGTGATGTACATGCTGCTGTCCCAGCAATTGTTGAAGAGTGCACAGGCAGCTGGTTGACAACCTTGCACATGGTCAGGTGGAAGGATCTGGATGGCTGAATGTGTGCATTGTGAGGTAGGATTGGGTGATGAACACCACAGTCTTGTCATCATTGCCCAGTATGGCGTTTCAAGTCACATGCCCCATGAACTTGTCTGTTGGCACAACATTGGAGAGGTAGGCAGTACTGGGATCCTTGCACTTGATACCCCAACACTGCCCATTGTTGAACATGGCGTAGGGCACAATCTTGGCCAACCACTGGCTGCATTCACTGGCAGAGAACTTGTATTGGCATAGTGACACAAGTGGAGAGGCTCCATGCACAATGTAAGATCACATGCCACAATCCATGTTCAAATGTGGTGGTCATAGACCAAGTCATTTATTCTGGTGGCATGGGGGGGCAGCACACCAGCGCTCGTGTCTTCAATCTTGGATTGCATGCACAAAGGGTGTGCTGGACATGTTGAGACGCCAATTGCAGATCATCAAGATCGCCTCATGGGGATCTGCCTTGATTCACTTTCAGATTATTGACAATCGTGATAAGGCAGTTGTTGCCAATGTCTTGTATGTGGAGCAAATGACGGATCTTGAGTGGACGATCGCTGAACGACACATGTCCGAGGCTCTCTATCACTTGGCCGAGTTTTGTGAACATGAAGAAACCACCGAGTTCGTCCTGTGGACATCGACGCTCTTCCAGTCACGGAACGGTACCCAAGAGGTGGCCTGCGTCGCTGGATACAACGAAAACGAAGCGATCACATCGCTGCATCCCTCCGGGCAGGATATTCTGTCCAGACACCAATCATATACCCACGCAGCCCCATCCGCAAAGCGCCGGAGGCGAGCGCGAATGCGTCCTTTGTCGGCAAGCCTCGCGGGGCAGCGATGGCCAGGATTGGACCGCCAAGAAGGTGCGCAAGCCACGGGGAGGATACACGCACCGGTGGGTGCGCATCCAGCACCTCATGCGGGCCGCCTACACCATCAACCGCCATTTCCCGACGCCCCGCCTTTCGATGTTCAATGCCCCGCGAACCACCAGCGACATTCGCGCCGAGATCGGCATCGAACAGCGACAGGGCCAGCGACCGCACATGGAGGACGTGACGTTTGTGGCGTGTGGCCGATGGACGCCGCCGGATCTTTGCTTTGGGGGTGTCGGACGGACACGGAGGCGACGCCACCTCGCGAGTGCTGCGCAAGGTCCTGCCCGAGTGCATCGCGTACAACCAGGGCGACGACGCCGATTTTATTTTGTTTTCTTTTGCTTGCTGCTTCAGCTCTGCTCCGTTGCGCTGGACGGGTCTTCCTTGGCCTTGTACTTGGCCCCTGGGTAGACGGGGTAGCCATAGGGACTGTACACTGGAGGCGGGGGGTACATCGGCGGCGCTGGCCCCGGCGCGACCGGCACGTAGTGCTGTAGTTGTTGGACGGAGGAAAGTGTCAGTGTGGTCAAGCAGTGTTGATGAGAGTGGTACCATTCTGTTGGAGCCCATCAGGGTGAGGAACTCCATGATGCTGGGCAAGCGGAAGTTGAGGATCATGTCGCCCAGCATGCCACGGTCCGTCGTCTCGCCCGTCTCGCCGCGCTGCTGCTTCTCGCTCAGTTCCTGGTACTGCTTGAGCGCCTCGTCCACCTCACCACGCGTCATCCCGTATTGCTGTCCCCGATCGCCAGTGAGCATTCAATGCAGGGTGGGAGCTCTTACGTTCGGACATGATCATACCTGGCCGTGGTTGTAGAGTTCTTCCGGGTGGTGGTCACCGTACAGCGAAGGCGTCCCGCGTGGTTGAGCAGGATAGGCGCCAGCAGGAGGGCCTGCGCTGTACTGGTCCATGGAGCAGTAGCCCGAACCCATGCAGCCAGGAGGCGGAGGGTAGCTCGGGGCGCCATAGCCGTACGCTAGGGGTGGATAGTCCCCATACTGAGTCATTGGACCTAGATCAGCAACCAACACAGACAATGATCAATACAAATGGCTGAGGAGAGGGTACAGAAGGGTTGATGGGGTAGCCGGCAGGGTCCACGAAGCCACTCTGCGGGCCAGGAGGGTACATCGGGTAGCTCATGTTGAAGTTAGGGCTGTCTGGGCGTGAGAAGGGGATGGTGGTATGTGAAGTGGTTCTGCTAAAGGTTAGGCGAAGCCGCTGACTGCGAACCATGTCAATGTGTCACAAAGCTGTCGTCACCCGTCGCAAGCTGACCTCCCAAGGGCTTGTTGTTGAAGTCCCTACGAGCGCGATAGAGTTGTCCATCAGCCACCAGGAAAGCCAGGGTTTAGATCTTCGGAACTAATTGGCGCTGGCCAGAGGCCTGAATGTGGCGCCAAGGAACTCTTCTGTCTGGCCGAGCTTGAGGCCCGGAGGTCAACTCCCGGCCAGAGAATTCCTTGTTCGTGTGACCCATGCACTGCATCTTCCCTGTTGAGTGTTGACCGGCCCACCCTAGGCTACTCAAGAGAGTTGAGTGTTGACCGGCCACTCAAAAGACAGATCTCTGGTCTCAACAGATCTCAGACGGGGAGCAGCTCCGTGCCAACTAGTTTTGAGGGGAAGTTGGCGTTTGTGGAGGGGGGGGGGCGAAGACAATCAAGTGCCACAAAGGGAAATGCATTTTCTCCTTCCCTCTTGCTCTCACGAGGGTGGAGAGGGAAACACAACGCGCTCGCGTTAGTAGGGGGGCATGCCGCCGCCCATGCCCATGCCGCCAGGCGGGTACTGTTGCTGGCCCATGCCCATGCCCATGCCGCCAGGAGGGTACTGTTGCTGGTCCATGCCCATTCCGCCGCCCGGCGGGTACTGTTGCTGGCCCATGCCCGTTCCCATGGCGCCCATGCCACCCGGAGCTCCATATTGCTGTAGCGTGGAGCGCACAGTGAGCGAACACACACAGAGTGCAGCAGGTAAGTGCTTCATACCATCTTGTTCCTGCCGATCAGGGTGAGGAACTCTTTGATGGTTGGCAACTGCACAAGGAAAAGAGGTTATTAGGCATTGTTAGACATTGTCGTTGGGAGAAGGAGCAGGCAGAGTACTCGGCCAGTGGAGAGCGAGTTGGCTAGGATGCGGCTGAGATTGCCCATAAGTTGATCGTTGACGACGCCACCAGCGCCTGCGCCAGTGCCTGTGCTCGACTGTCCAAAGATGCGACGGAGGAGGTTCTGGAGGGTGCCGCCCGATCCGAGCGAGGCCAGCATGCCGCGGTCCATGTTGCTCATCTCCTGGTAGGTTTGCAGCGCGGCATCCACTTCGCCTCGGCTGAGCCCGTATTGCTGTCGCCCATCGTGGTGAGTCGAGGGGCGAAAACGCAGCTCGCGCAAGCACATGAGGAGATGACAGTACCTGGGCGTGAGCGTAGAGATCGTTGGTGTTGCCACCGAAGGCGGAGGAGGCGCCGCCCATCGGGAGGTTACTGCCGACCGGGGGAGGAGGATAGGCGCCCGCAGCGGAGGCACCGTAGGGGTCCGCGGGACCGCCCACGCCGGGCAACATCGGGGGATAAGCAGCGCCGCCTGCGGCGAGACCAGTCGGCGCGCCAGGGTAGCCACCCATCATGGGGTTCTAAGGAATGGAGTCATGACTCATGATCCCTGAGCAATCCTGCGCCCCAAGGAGAAAGACCAGAAGACGAACCTGTGGTTTGATGCTGTAGCCGGCAGCGTCAACGGGGCCACTCTGCAGGCCGGGCATCGGGAAGCTGCTGCCAGCGGGAGGGGCCTGAAGGCCGCTCATACTGGAAGGATACTGATAGCTCATTGTAGTGTGGTGAAGTTGTTGTAATGTGGGGCTTTGTGGTCGCTGTTGTTAGTCGTTTGTAGTAGCTGTACCGTGGGGAGAAGTTATCGGAAAGCTGACGGCGTGGGAGGTCTGCCGAAAGAGGGAAGCCAGAGCGGTCTCGGGTAGAGCTCACAGAGACAAGCCGGCACGGTGACATGTGGGCCACCGCCGGCAGATGTCGAAAGCGCATCCACTGAAAATCAAACGACAATTGCCGTAAACGTGACTACATTCCATTCATAGTCATTCCAAACATTCTTAACACACGCCTTCACTCGAACCCGATCATGCTGCTGATCAAAAACCTGCACAGTGGAGGCAGAGTCAGGACGACACACGACACGACACGACGCGAGGACAACGTACCGTTTGTAGATGGACATGAACTTGGCCACGAACGCCTCGAGGTGGAAGATGGCCTTGCTGCCCATTTGCATGCGGTGCTCCTGCACGTCAATCCCGACCATCAACACGGGCACTGGCGTCTCGGTAGCAGAGGAAAAGAGGTGGGCGAGGAGGTGAAGGTGAAGCGTACGTAGAAGGCGGCCCAACGAATGACCTCATACTTGACGGAGGTGTCCAGCTTCTTCAGGAGCTCCAGTGCAAGTTTCTGTCGGTCGGTCACGCACGGAAGTGTCAAGTGGGTTTAACGAACTACTACTCAAGGCTACAGAAAGGACGAACCTTGATGATGACCTCTGGGGGGATGCAGTGGCTGAGAAGTTCGTACAGCTGGTTGCGAACGTCCATCAACCTACGGCCATACAAGCCCAACACAGACGCGCGTCAGTCTCTGCGCCAGGGTCAAGTAGAGACGAGACGTTTCGGCAACGAGCTACCTCTTGGGGCTCTGCTCGTCAATGATGAACTGGGCCAGACGGACGATGAACTCCTCCCAGTCCGTCATCTCGACTCGCTGTCCTTTCTCAAAGGGGTACCTGCCAGGTGGCCACCCAATGGCGGTGAGACAAGAATGGAGCAAGCCGGTTCAGATCGTCCAGAGTATGACATAAGGAGAGCAACGCACTTCGCTGTGTGGGTGGCCTGGAGCATCAGGATGGCCTTACGCAAATTCCTGTCGGACTGCACGGCAATCGATCGGGCCAGCTCGGGAGGCAGGGTGATGCCCTCCTTCTTGCTGATCGCTTGCAAGGATTTGGTGACCTGCCAACCCGGCCGTCAAGTCAATACAGCACGATTGACACTCCTCGCGGCAAGCGCGCACATCACAAACAGTTACGGCGGGCTTACCTCGTCGAGCGAGGGAGCGGCAACTCGGATCATCAAGCATCGCGAGCGAACAGGATCAATTACCTGGCGATAGGTCACTCGAGAACTTCAGTTTGCTGTCGTTTTCAGTGCAAGTGCAGAGCAAGACCTCTTCCCGTACCTTGGACGTGGAGTTGCAGCAGAGGATGAGGCGGCACACCGACATGTACTTCTCCATTGTTCGGCGCAGGGCGTGCTGGGCCTCCTTGGATAATCGCTCAACCTCATTCAGCACCACCACTGAAGAAGTGTTGCTTAGTCACAGATCAAAAGCTAAAAGTGTATGGGTAGGGAGCTGAATGTACCCTTAAAGGGTGGTTTGTTAGTGGTATCAAGCGGAGGGCTCTGCGCAATCTCCTTGATCACCTCCTGCACTACGAGCCTGTCGTGGTAGCCCGCATCGGAGGGGTTGAGCTCGATGTGGTACGCGCTGCTCACGATGCTCAGCTCGATCGTTGTGCTGCTGGGAAGCTGAAGAGCAAGAAGGCAATGGTGAGCTTCAACAAAGCTGCTCATGAACTGCAGCTATGGGGAAAGAGGCACACCTTAAAGTCTCTGTGATCGATTTTCAGCTGAAAGCAGGCCGAGTGAAGGCATGAAGGTCAGCAACAAGCGCAGATGGTGCTCTCAAACGTGAGATCAAAGGCGAATTACCTTTTCCACACCGGCATCGAACAATTCACGAAGAAGGGCCATGATTCGGGTCTTCTTGCCGGCTCCGGTGGGGCCAAAGAAAAGCAGATGCGGGAAATCCCCTGCAGTGGCCTGGGGATGACATAACGAATGCTCATCAGCATTTGCCAGCAGACTCTCAATCGCCCGCAATTTCTGAGTGAAAGAAGCGAACCATTTTCTGCAGCTGGTTGGTCAGAGGCTCATGATAGTCCAGCTGCGCGAGTTGGCGCGGTCGGTGCTTATCAACCCACAACATTCGCAAGCGAATCCTAATACTTGGGGCAAAGTAAATGGTGCCCGATGAATCCAGCGATTGTTGCGCCTGCGTTTCCCGCCAAAAGCAGAAGTCGACTTTAAACTAATTTATAAAAGTTTCCTCGAAAGTGCGACAAGAAAAGCTGTTAACGGTCGCAAAGGCCAAACAAAGCTACTGGCAGTAGAGCTGTGTCCGGAGTTAAGTTTTTTGGTTATATGTTTAACTGGAATGCAAAACATGTGCCGACAATGCTGCAAAATTTGTGCACAAACAGATAAACGTCGACAGGGCGGGATCGATTCTGGCCGCAGGAACTCAAAGCTGACAACATTTCCGCCGCCCGAGAACCGAGCGGAGCGACCGTGTGACCGCCTTCCACCACAGCTTCGGCCGGACCGTGCTGCGCAAGTACGACATCTGCGGCATTGTCGGGAAGACGCTGCAGCTGGAGGATGCCTTTGCCATCGGCTGCTGCTTCGGCAGCATGGTCGCCCGCGCTGGCGGATCAAAGGTCACGGTCGGCTATGACGGCCGGCTCTCCCAGTGTGATTGGCGACAGTGCTTTGTGAGTTGAATGTGCGGTCCTTTTATTTTGTGGTGCCTTCTCTTTTGCGAACAGGCACCACTCGCAAAAAGGAAAAATTACCTGAAAATTCTCAGAATTTCAGTGAGGTTGTGCGGTGTTGTGGCCAACCAAGGAATGCCCGAAACCGTTAGAACTGTTTAACCACATTCTTTCACGGTTAGGTTAATCTTAACTCCGGACACAGCTCTAACTGGCAGTTATAATATTAGCAATGGAGGAGGCAACTGATCGAGCCGACGTCGAGAAGATTACGATGAGCTCACCCTCCACAGCATTCATCAAACGCAGACCGCGTCGCCCGTCAAATTCGACGAATGGCAGCATTGCAACATCGAGCACCGATTTGTCGGCCATCATGTCTGGCACGGACCGCCCTGAGGTGCCCAGCATCCTTGTGAGTTCGCCTACGCGTCAAGAGCACGATCTGCCGGCCGATGCGGGTGCCCGAACCCCCACCACGCCCTCCTCGCCTTTCTCCTCGGGTGCCCTCCCGACGTCGGCTGCACCTTCTCCCAGCGTCAGGGTGCCGCCTTCGCCCTTCAGCCCTCCCCTTTCTTCGCGCGCTCGGCCCACGCGCACCGCGGCGGGCGGTGCTTCGCCGCTGGCTTCACCCGCCTCGCCCGCGGCTGCCGACACTGTCTCTACAGTGACTTCCACCCTCAGCCGGTTCACAGCCCACCGCCCCTACCGCACCCCAGACATGGGCCTCGAGGTGCTCCAGGTCGACGTGGACACTGGTACACCACCTTCCACCTTCTGTCACGTTTCGTTGTTGCTTGGTCTGGGTCAACCACGCTATTTCCACGTCAGCGAATGGCAGATTCAGTGGTTGGCAATGTATTGACCAATCTGGCCCTCTTCATTTTGCATTGCAGCAAAGGTGAATCCCACCTATACGGTGCATCTGGAGGGCGAGTGCACACTCAACACGACGCCGGAGACGAGGAAGGACATTCAGGAGCATCCGCGAGCCGCCCAGCTGCTCAAGGCTAACAAGGACCTGGTCAAGGGCTTCGCCGGCGCCACACTGAAGCTGCGGTGCGTAACTTGGCCCAGTCAGCCGTTCAGCTCGCGCGCCAGTTAAAGCTAATCATCAAGCCCTGGTTCACCACAGATTCGATTTCGTGCACAAGGACACCAAGCAAATGGAGCACCACTTCGCCACCGGCGTCGCTGTGGCTCCCAACCTCGTGCTGACTGTGAGGTGAGTCGTAGCGACAAGAGTTGCTGTTATGCGTGGCGCGTCTCCTAACGCTGTGTTTGTACTCGTTCGTGCCCTAGACACCACCTCTTCCACCCGGTCATAGAGAAGCGAAACGATTACGTCGTCCGAGAGCACGTGCTGGCCCGGGTCGACTCTGACAACTCGCGCATGGCCGGGCTCCGCGTGTGCCGCACGCACCCCGAACTCTACAAGGATCCGCCACTGTGGTTCGGCACCGAGCTCAACTGGACCGACATCAACAAGATGCCGTCCGACATCGACCCCATGTCGACCTTCCGCGAGCGGTCGGCCGAGCACTGGGTGTGGCGCGACTTTGTCTTCCTGCGGATCACCACGCCCACCGATCTCCTCCTTCCTCCGCCCTATTTCCTGCCCGATGTACCCTACGCTCCTGCTCTCGCCGTCACTTACTCGCTGCCCCACCGTACGGCGATCGCTCATCACAGCCATTCATGCAGACCGACGTCTTCACGCAAGAGCCGGTGATGGTGGGCGGCTTCGCGGTCGGGGAGGCAGACCCGGACCGTCTCCTTGGGAAATACGATAGCTATGTGAGGGTAGCGGCTCGCCTTCTGCTCTCTTCCGTTGCGCCTCTCTCTCGCTCAACTCCCTTGATCGCTTGTCTGGTGCAGGTGTACCAGCAAGCCTCGAAGCTGAAGCGGCTTCCCTTCTTCAACTCGAGAGCTGCCGACACCTGGCCTGAATTCGTACATTCCATGTTCCACCACTATCCCAAGCGCAACATTGTCGTATCGCTGGGCACGGTACCCACCACCTCCACATTTGCATCTTGCCGGACTCTAGTCGATTATCGGCCTAGCTTGCTCACTCAATTTTGTTACCGGTTCTCTTGCTCGTCAGGTGCACGAGAGCTCATCCCAGCGCCTCGGATTGTACAACGGCAGCGCGGAAGTGGGGATGGCCGGCGGCCCTGTTTCGCCGATCGTCGAAGCAGCCCGGAAACACGATGTCACCCTCCCACTCTGGGGCATACGTACATCTCTCTTTCTCTCCCCTTTCGCCTCACCGTCTTGCCTTCTTCTTACGCGTTCGCTTCGTACACTGAACAACGCAGACGCGGGCCGATTCACCGACGGACTGCACAACGTGTTCTTGTCGGTCGAGCATCCGCTATTCATCGTGCAGTACGCCTACACCATGCTCACGCACTTCCTCTCCGAGCCGCAATACGACGTGCCGGAGTACGTGGAGTTCAAGAAGCGGCTGTGGAACTATCTCAACTACTTCGACTGGCTCGATGTTTACTGGTACCCTGGAAGCACTCTCCATGAGAGACACACACAGCCAGACTTACTGGCATGCCCCCACTCGCGCGCAGTGACAATCTGAGACGCAACGTGCACTCGGCGCTGGCCAAGTCGCAGTACGAGGAACTGTCCTCGCTTCCCCCGCCAAAGGACCAAACCGCTGTCGCGTTTAGGTAAAGCACCCATGTGCGCGGTGTGTTGTGGTGGGTGTGTGGTTTCCTGGATCTGCGAACTCGGCTGAATGAGTTCCCAATCAGAGGGAAAGAGGAGCTCGAGGAGGTTCAGGAGGAGGCCGCCACCTCCCTCGTCACACCCAAGCGCAAGCGGGAGGGAGGATCGAGGCGCACCAAAGCCACAAAGACGAAGAAGGCCAAGAAGCCAAACGAGGCCGAGGAGGAAGAGAGCCCCGAGTTGGACACCACAAACCTCCCCGTGTTGGACGATATGACCACCGATCAGGTACACACTCCTCCCTCTCCTTGACAGCATCGTCGCGGGCTCATGTTTTGATTCTTCTTCTTCTTCTGTTGTTGTTGTTGGAACAGCTGCGTCTTGAGCTCCGACGGCGAGGCCAGCGAACGTCGGGCGCGAAGAACGAACTGGTGGCGCGGTTGCGGAAGGCGCGGGAAGAAGGCGACGCCGCCACGTCAACCAAGCGAGGCCAACCTCCGAAGTGGGGAAACCTCAAGGCCATGAGCGAGGACGAAGGCGAGGTTGAACACCACGACAACGAGAAGAAGAGCGAAGAAGAGAGCGAAGAAGAAGAAGAGTAGCGACGGCCTTCAGTCGCACAAAAAAGAAAAGAGAAATGAAAAAGAAAAGAAAAAAGAATGAAAAGCGAGACGTGGCACACGTGCTAAGGTAAAGAGGCAAGATGAGGGGAAGGCCGCCGGCGCATCATATGCGGGCGCGTCGCACCATGTGGTGGACGCTGCCCTTCCTCGTATTCTTCGTTCTCCTCGCCCTCTTCCTCTTTCTCATCTTCCAGCGGACCACTAGTACCACCTCCGGAGGCATCGGATCCTCGCCCGCCACCTCCTCCGCCCCCTTCGAAGCCAGCGTGGAGCGACCAGTCGAGGAGGAGGTGGAGGGAAAGAAGAACGAAGAGCCGACCAAGGCGCCTCCAGCGGCCGTGACGACTCCAGCCGCCGCCGAGGTCGCATCTCCTTCTCCGGCGCAGATGAAAGCGGAAACGCAGAAGAAGAAGAACCAAACCACCACCAAGACGTCGGTGACGAGAAGGAAGGAGCAGGTGGCCACGGGGCAAGTGCTGGTGGTGGGCGGTGTGGACGACCTGGTGGCCACCTATGCCGCGAACGAGAAGGACGACCGGCAACGAGCAGCCAGCGAGGCAGCGGACCCCGTCGAGTCGGCGAGCTTGAGCGGAGCGGCACTGGTCGCGCGGCACCTCGTCGCAGCTGATGGCGAGGCCACGGCGGAACGCAGAGGCGATGGCAACGTGCTGGCTGCTTACCGTCACTGCCACGGCTCAGACGTCCCTCTCCCCCTCCCGCCGTTTTCGTTCTTTTTTATTATTTATTTTATTATTTATTTATGTTTTTAATCTATTTTATTGATTTATAATTTTTAAAAAATTTCCATTTATTTTGTATATGCCAATGCAGGGGGAGAGGGAGCCGGTGGGGGTCTACTACTGCAATGAAAAGGTGGACCCGGAGCACTGGGTCAAGTGCGTTGTCAACGCGTGGTCACTGCACCATCTCCTGGGCGCAAGGTACCCAGCACACCTTGTTCCTTGACTCACGTCGCACTGTGGTGGGCTGATCCGCTTTCTGTGGCGGCGCACCACCTCAGCATTCCTCCGATCAAGACGCTCGCAGCGCCAGTCGAGCCATCACCGTGGGGCATGGGTACCTGCCCCAATGTCGCTCTCATGCGCAGTCACCTCGGGGGATCTGATCTCGTGGTGTTCGGTGCAGCCATGTTCGAGGCCATGTTTCCTGGCATCACCTTTGTGGCGCCGCCCTCGGCCGGTAAATGTGCGGTCGCCGACCTGAACTCGCTGCAGCTGTGGCGGACCGAAGAACCAGCCACACCCGTACCCCCTCCCTTGGCGCGCACCCCCACACACAAGAGAGAGAGAGATCTCAGACCCTGGGTCGTTGGTTCTTTACTTGACGTTCAGCAGCTTACGACTTTTATCATCGTTGCAGACTTTCCATTCGGTCGACGCTGCGCTGGCGTTCAAGGAATTGTTCTATGAGCGCGTGCAGAGGCCGCCACACACGAGACTCCCCGGCCAGGTATGGTATCTCTCTGTCTGTGCGTTTGGCAGGTCATCGCAGGCAAGTCTCACACTCGCGGTTCCTACCTAGGTGACACTCCTGGTGCAGAAGCAAGCCACCATTCTCAACGAATTTGATCTGGCTTACCTGCTCGCCGAAGGTAAACAACATGGGCTGCTTGTGACGCGCAACAACAACAACAACAACAACAACAACAACAACAACAACACACGCACACGCACACACCACTAACAACGCACATAATGATGATGTGATATGCAGTTACCCACATGCCGATCGCCATAGTCGACTTGGACAAGCTGCCCGTGCTCGACCAGGTGCTGCCAGCTCCCTGCCGATCTCCCCCTCTCTTTCTTTTTCCTGCGTGCTTACCAGCTTTCGAGCAGGTTCGTTTGATGTCGAACACGGGCATCTTGGTCGGCATGCACGGAGCCGGCTTCGTCAATGCGCTCTTCCTGCCGCGGGGCGCCGTGACCGTGGAGATGTTCGCTGGCCGGTACTACAGCTCCGTGTACGGCCGGTACGCCGCGCCGGGCGGGGTCTCCGCCTATTCCTACCACGAACCAGGGGTGAGCTCGGTCACATCATACACCCCAAGACCAACGCAGCAGAACTGGCGGTACTTC